ATTAAATTAGTTTTTGCTGTGACATTTGAGAGAAAAAATCATATATTTATGTCACCTTTGAAGTAAGAAAATGGAAATTTATTTAACTTTATGAGAAAATTTATTATAAATAGTTGATATTAATTTTGATTGGTTGGACAAAATCATCTTTGCAGTTTGTGTAAATTCTATATATTACAAGTTAAACTTATGATACTTATAACTATTTATTATGATGTATTATGATATTATTAAGATGAATTTGTCTCCTTATTCTTCTAAAATTACTTAGTTCCTGAAGAATTATGTGTAAAAATATTAATATAGTTCCTGAAGAACTAATACATATTTTTTTATGGGCAGATAAAGAATTAATGGTAAAAAAATATGAGCCATTGATCTACATTAGAACTTTGGTTTCGAAAGAGTCTGAAAAGTAATAGCCTAATCGAATTAAAATCCATAATTATATATGAACTAGGAAGTACTTGGACTTCCAAGTGATAGAGGTTATTAGCCTATTATATGCTAGTCACTGTTTTTGAAACACATGGATAAGGACAACATGTTTTTATGAATCACACTTGAGGGGGAGACTGTTGAAATACAAGTGTGAGTTGATGTTAGATAGAGTTTTACTTGAAACTTGTTATAGTAAACCAGAAGTTTACTCGCTTAATTAATGTATAGTTGGGGTGGCTTGTTTGATTATCATAAATAATATATATGATGTAACAAATTATTGATGATTATGTATCAACATTCATTGAAGAACCAGAAGATTCTTCATGAATAGCCACCATATTATATGATCCAAGAAATCATATCCTGCTTATTCTTCATGAAAAATTGATTACATTGATATCACTAGTTATGATGTAAAATGAGATCCAGAAAATTTTTATTGAAAAAGATTGTGAATTTATATCCTACAATTTCAGCGATCAACATGCATTTGTTAGAAAAATAATTGAAAAGTCTACTTAACAGAACGATATGGCAGAATTATTAGACTCCATGAATGGCTAGATCAATACTTTTGAGAACAAGATCTTCATCTTAGGGTTGGCTTGTTTAGTTTGATATGTTGCAACATTTATGCAAATCAAGCCAATAAAATTCTCTCAATGAAATTGACTTTGGTCAGGAGTCAAATACTTTCCATCTTAAAAGTTTGAATGTGCAATGCTTATGTCTATTGATCCACCACAATATACATAAAGATGGATATAAAAAATTGGAATAAATGTTGGGTAAGAACCTCCTTCTTCTTGTTTGTATCTAAAAGAAACAAAAGGGATGTTTCTAAAAGAAGCAAATGAATTGAGGAGACTCATACTGCATGATTAATTGATTGTCATTCGACAAAATTTTCCTAACATGAGGGGGAGAAATTGAGTAGTTGGAAAAGATAACATATAGAATGCATTATTATTATCAAGTATAGATCCTCATATATATGATAGTATGAACCAGAAGTTCATCAAAGAATGCATCCATGAGATATTACAAAATATGTGCCAGATGCTATTACTGACCTAAATGAGTATTACTAAATCTCATATTCTAGTTGAAAATGCTCCAATTAGTATAAATAAAAGTGAGACATGCCTGAAGCATAAGAGATTAATCGGTTCCAATATAATTATATTGAACAAAAAGGAGCATGAAATTTAACAGTTATATTAAGGAGGCATGTGCTTTAACTGAGACATAACTAGTTGGAAAAAAAAAGAGCCCTAGAAGAGGTTCAGGTACCTGAAAAGTAATGAAGAGATCTCAATAAGTTATGTCACAAGAGGAAAAATAGAACCAAAAAGATAAAGTTGTTGACAACGTTTTTGATAATAATATCACGTGATTTTAAAGAGGATCTTATATGAAAGTAAAAATTTGGCCAAAAGCAAAAGGAAAGAAGAAAAGATGCAATGGACATATAATTATTATTTTAATATGTGAAAATTATGGACCTGCAATCAAAACACATCAAATACAAAGTTATTATGTGACATATGAATATTTTTGTGAAAATAAAGAATTTCACAAAGGTCCAGTGATTATGATTAGGCATAATATTTTGTGATGGATGCAATAATTTTTACTAGTTTGGCAGTATATGAAAAATGAAATATGCGTCTGTTAGATATCGTTATAGCCTATACATGTGGCTCACTAAATAATGAAGTTTACATGAGAATTCTTGAGGGATTTAAAATGCCAGAAGCATTTATATAGAAGAAAATCATCCAATGCTTAAAATATTATGTTGAAAAGATAATCTGAGTATACATATCTGGCTTAGAAAAATGTATTAGAAAATAAATAATTTTGTATCTTACTTGACCCGAAGATCAAGTTATTGAATGCATCAATGATTGCAAAATGATTGATTTTGTTATGATAATTTTGTTTGCAAAATATATTCGACTAAATAGATTAGAAGTCCCATATATTTATTCTATAATAATATTTACATATATTGTCAATATTATGGTAAAGATAAGTTTCTGCAGGTATGCATGTGAATAACAAAACTGAGATTGAATATGTAATTCTATGAAACTATTACATAATATCATTTTATTCAAATTAAATTAATTATGTCGATACAAGATATATTATAATATTTTTCAGAATAAACTTTTTTTGCAGTTTTCTCAGTGCAAGTAAAGAATATATTGATAATTCCACATATCTAGAAGATATGTTAGAGGAATACATTTCAATATAATTTGATGACGACGTACTATGCATAGTTCAGCTAAAAAGAAGATATGCTTGAAAAGGCATTGAACAACTTGAGAAATTGGTATACTCTATTATGATAAAATGATAGAGAGTGATGCTATTGACAGGGGGAGTAGAAGTGATGTTGTCATTAGAGGGAGTAAAGATCATGTTGTACTCTTTTCCTTAGCCAAGATTTTGTCTCACGGGGTTTTTCTGTTAAGGTTTTTTTAACAAAGCAGCTTCAATGTATATTGTGTACTCTTTTTCCTTCACTAGGATCTTGTCCCACTGGGTTTTTCCTAGTAAGGTTTTAATGAGGCACAATATTTGTTTATGAACATCCAAGGGGGAGTGTTGTAAATATTATGTTGTGTGGATGTTCATAACTCCTTAGCCCCTTGGGATTCCTTCTCATGGTTAATAGCATTATACCTTATAACTCCCAAATTGAAGGGTTTCAAGTATTGATTTCCTATAACCTCTAATTGTACAATTATGTTGCTTAATTCCTTTCTTTATGTACTTGTAACTCTTTAGGTTAGTCTTCAATATTGAGATCCTATAAATAGGAGATGATGTACACACATTTGAGACAATGAAGTGAATGAGAACTCCCCCTTAATTTATCCTCCAATTTCCTTTTATTTTCTCCATCTCCCTCATCTCAATCTTTATACTTTTCTCATTTTTCATAACAACAAAGAGTTTATACTTCAAATCTTCAGAGCAAGGTCGTACTAATAACGTGTTATAAAACTAGAAGAAATAAGGATACTAGAGAGTAGAAAAGAAAACAAGGATAGAGAAGACAATGATCTTTTTTCATTCACTTTGTTTCATGATCCAAATACCTTATGCATGGCCTCTATTTATAGGCCTCCAAATATTGAAGTCCTATACTAGGGTTACTAAGGAATAAAGTACATCATAATGGCATTAACAATGAGAAACTCCTTTCAAGTCATTGATTGAAGAGGTTGTGTAGTTTATGACATTTGAAGGTAAGAAATCCTATAAGAATTCTAAGGGTTAGGGGTTATAGGCATCCATTTATGCAATATTCATAATAATAGTTTTATTTTTATTTTATTTTATTTTATTCTTTTGGAAATAATTATTTTTTTGTTTATTTTATTATATTGGGATAGAGCTTGAAATAATTTAGCGAATGTAGATATAAAAAATTTAATTAAAAATTTGACTCATTCTATTAATAATCATATCGTTGACTAAATATGTTTAAAAATGTTTGAAATATGTGTATTAAATATTAAAAAAAATTTCAAAATTTTTAGATAATTCTTATATTAAATAAGGATATTTTGGTAAAAAAATTGAAAAGTCAAACTTAAAGTTAATGATAAAGTAATGTTTAAGTGGATGAAAATAAATTTTTAATTATATATGGGAGATTTGTGTAAGATACATTTTAATTTTAAGAGAAACTTATACCACTTTTATACTTAATACAAATTACTTGTAAGACATTCTTGCATATTAAGAAACATATTTCAAATTTTATTCTTTATTTTTATATTTACAAATCATCCCTATATCTTTCCTTTTTTTTCTTTTTTAAATAAGAATTAAATAAAAAGAAAATTAGAAAGCAATTTAAACATGTTATGAATGACTTACATTTAGAATATGATTTCAAAATGGATATGAGGTTTTAATAATTTTGGTAAAATAACAGAGTAATTAGTATATTTTCCTTTTAAAAAATTATAGTTAGGATAGGGAGGAATTGAGTCAATCACGTACTCTTGTGATAATTCATGAACGCGCCTCACAAAAGTCTGAGACTAAAGATTTCTGGTCGTCCAGAATCCCGTGAAGCACGCACGTTCCGTAATCCTCAAAGTCAATATTCCTTCCAAGCAACAAATTTGAACCCTCCAATTTGGATACAATAAAGCCATCCACTACAGCGGAAATTCGTAATCAATTTCCAATGAAATGCCCCCCCCCCAAAAAAACTTTTTATAATCCAACATGAACAGTAACTAAATGACCATCTTTTTAGTTATACTACTTCTTATTTTAATTATAAGACTTTATTTATAATTTATAAATAACGTTTTATAATTAGGACCGAAAATAAAATAGTTTATAAACGAGATTAAGGTTGAAAATAGTAGTAGTTATAACTCATCCTTAACCATTTATGTCTATATTATAGATTTTTTTTAATTATTCATATCCTTAATTAACATTATTTTCTGTTCACCAACTATGACACATCAACATCAGCAAAAGGCATTGGGGGGCAAAAAAAAAAAAAAGCCAAATCTGAAAAATCTTCTGAATTCTCATTTCTTTTCTTTTCCAACTTGAATGCTTAGACTGGGGTCAAATAGCAAAACTTGTGGGAGAATATGGACATTTCCTCCAAGGAGATCAGATAATAAACTCTTCCTGATTAAATATTGCGTCAGATGTTTAACTTTCTCCAGCTTCGCGCTCTCAACACAGTACAATTACTACAGAAACATCAGAACACTACAAAATCTGAAGTTATTGAGAATTTCAAGGTTTTATTATGGTCTGATAATCTGATTCAACCTACTTATTTTTCACTGTTACACCAAGTTCACCTGCTACGATAACAGTTGTTGCCATGTCCAGGAACATTCCATGTTCTGCAACTCCAGGAAGTCGCAGAATTGCGTCATTGGCAGCCTCCAGATCACCAATACTACTCTCGAAATACAAATCCACAATGTAATTCCCATTATCGGTGACGAAGGGTTCATCGTTTTCCCCGAAAGTTCTCAACTTTGCCACACAACCTGAATCTTCGAACAGTTTTTGAAGCCTTGAAGCTGTGAATTTCCAGCAAAATGGTACAATTTCAACTGGCATGGCCAATCCACTGCCTCCCAAATACTTGACCAGTTTTGACTCGTCGACGATGACGACGAATTTCTTACAAGCGCCTTCTATCATTTTCTCTCTCAGGAGCGACCCGCCCCGGCCTTTAACCAAATTCAAGTACGGGTCGACTTCGTCGGCGCCGTCGATGGCGAGGTCGATGACGGGGTGAGCGTCGAGATCTGATAGTGGGATTCCCACAGACAAGGCCTGTTCGTGGGTCATCTTCGATGTGGGTATTCCTACGATGTTCTTGAGCTTGCCCTGTTTTAAGAGCTCGCCGATTCGGGCCACCGCGTGCTTGGCCGTTGACCCGGTTCCGAGGCCCAGGACCATGCCGGACTCGACATACTCCACGGCCTTGTAGGCGGCGATTTTCTTGAGCTCGTCTTGGGTTAGAATCACAGACGAAGACGGAGATGGAGATGAGGAAGGAGAAGAAGGAACCAGAGGACCTGTCTCAATGGCTGCCATTTTTTGAACCTTAAAAACACTAATGAGCCAGTTAATCTAGGGTAGGAATGAAATCAAGACAGAAACTTTAACAGGGAAGAAGCAAAATCAAAGGAAAAAGGATAGAAACCCAGTAAGATATCAGGTGAAAAAATCCCAGAATGGATCAAATCAAGACACAAAATTGAGAATTTGGGTTATGGGTTCAAGAGAAACGAAACTACAAAAGCAACCCAGAAGAAAAGAGGAAGGGAAAATCTGGGAAAATATGAGGAAAGAGACGAAAGAGATGAAGTTGGGCGACAGTTAATGAAACATAATGTGTGGTGGTGAGTTGATGAGGAAGGAGAAGTACGTGATAGAGTGATAAGGTTGGATGGGGTGTGGAGGCGGAAGAGGCAGAGGAGGGTTTATAAAGAGGAGACAGGTGGGGAAGGAAGAGGAAGGGGAAAATCGAAGACAGTTCAAAAACATTTGCATTGAAAGAAATTTGGCCCATTGTGCACGGTGGAGAATGGAGATTCGCCGAAAGAGCATATAGTCTTGCACGCTGCACCTGCGGAGTTTTATATGCGTATGGAAAACGATTATTAATTTATTTTTTGACCCGCAGAAAACGATTATCTAGTTTTTCAGCCGGGGAAAACGATTATTTATAGGAAAATTACTATATACTGGACAAGGAATATAATTAGAAAGAATTACAATAAGACCTTAATAAAAAAATAATTACTAAAAAATCTCAATAATAACTTAGCAAGTTTCAAGGTATAAATATCACTTTTTGAATTTTTTAGAAAATCTATTGTTAAATACTATACCGAACTTGTTAATAGAGTTACTGAACTTATTAAAGACATTACTAAAGTTGCAAAAATACTTTTAAATTTTTTGAAAAACCTGTTGTTAACTGTTATATTGAATTTGTTAATAGCGTTACAAAACTTATTAACCGTTTTACTGAAGTAGTAAAAATTTAAAAGAAAGAGCAGTTATTAAAGTTGTAAGAATACCATTTTTTTGAATTTTTTAGAAAATCTGTTGTTAAATACTACATTGAAATTGTTAATAGAGTTACGAAATTTGTTAATAACATTACTGAAGTTGTAAAAATACTACTTTTTAAATTTTCTGAAAAACCTGTTATTAACTGTTACACTGAACTTGTTAGTAGCATTACAAAACTTATTAACTGTTTTACTGAAGTTGTAAAAATTTTGAAAAAAATTGTGTGTCATTCGACCACTGGAACTCCAATGATGGCGGCCATCGCAAGCACTAGAGCTTGGGTGATTGACCTGCCAATAAGGACATTTTGGTTTTTTAAAAAATAATAAATAAAATAAAAGACAATATAGTCATTTCAGTAAATTTACAAATCTCAAATTGGTCCCTTATATCTCAATTAGGATTTTGCAAATTTAAGTGACTGTTTTAGGATTTTCAAGTTTAAGTGTCATTTTTGTGTCATTTTTCTTTAATAAATTAAACATTATTAATAAATTGAACAAGTTTAAATCACTCCAATATTTTAACTGAATAAAAAAAATCGTATACTATTTTACTTTCAATTTAATTTAATTGATTTTATTTTTTTAGAATTTGTTGATTTTATTTACAAGATACATAAAATTATTTAAAAAACGAATTGAAGTAACAATAATTGCAAAAATATTATAATTATTTTTTTAACACTAAAATTTTCTAATTCTCTTTTTTTTTTTTCTCTTGCTAACCAAAATATTCTAATTCTAATTATTTTATAATGCGGGGTACGTTGCTTTTCTTTCTTAAGAAGCAATACATATTTTTAGAGAAAGACAAATTGATATTCCAAGAAAAGAAATTCTCAACTAGCTTTCTTCTTCGTTTTCCACCTCATGTTCAATATTCTATATTCATTCAATGGCTTTAAAAAGTCCTCCTTTTTCTGTTCCAAAATTCTCTTTTAAAACGCTTTGACTCTAACACAACAAAGACATATAATATTAAATTAACTTGATTAATTATAATTGATCATTGATTCTGAAATTACATATCCATTCCGACCAGCTTCATGCCGAATTACTTAATAAAGCTACGGGGATAAAGTTTTTTTTATAATCTTAAAAAAGTAGTGCTTTTTAAGTTTCCTATCTTTTTTGCCTGATTTTTAATTTTCCTATCACATTCATTAATTCTCAGGGTAAATGTACATCTAATAAATTAATCTTATTTCTTGGGTGTATCAACCCATACGCCCATGCTCCCTCAATCGTAAAAAATGCCCAACATATCTTGTATTATACTAATTAAAAAAGAGTCTTTTAGATGGGAGAAAATGAGTATTTTGGACTGAAGTCGTGACCAATATAGAAAAGAATGGTTTAAAAAGTCCCTTTTTACAAAATTGGCATAGAAAAAAATAATTTTTTAGATCTGTTATATTACCAATCGGTCATCATATTGGAATTTTTATATAAAAAATCCCCTCCTTTATTACGACAAGTCTACGAAGTGAATTCTTTTTTAAATTATCATTTTTTTTCTTATACTGGCTAGTTTTTCTCATGTCATTTGACTTTTCAATGTTTTTTTTGGCTTGCTTGCTTTATTTCACTACATACAAAGATGCTAAATGATTTTTAAGTGTTGGATTTCGTGGATATAATCTTGATATGTACTTGCTATTAAAGTCTGGTTTTTTTGGCAAGTATCGCTAAAATCGAATGCCACGACTCTTGGATTAGGTAAAAATTCAAAAATAGTAGGCATTTTTATCCTTAGTATTAAAATGGAATATGTAATGTTTCCACGCTATTGTTAGAAACAGCAAAGGGAAGATTCATATTTAATGAAACAAGTACAATACAGACTTTGTTTCAAACTTACAACATTTTGTATTATGAATTATGATCAAGTAGAGTAAGTGTGTTAGTTGTGAAGAAAACCAAATTGAAGGTCTTAGTTGTCCTTTAATTTTGTTTCTTTCTCAATTAAAACCTGTTTTACTCGATCATATCAATCTTACAAAATATAACCTGCAAATCCAGAATTAATTATATTATACTTAGTTTTTCTAAACAAGAATTTTTCTCTTTGCTGCCCCAACCAATAGGTTGGAAACATTTCCATGTTCTATTTTAACTCTACACGGGTCAAATGTCTAACCTTAGTAAACCTAATACCCAATTCAAGGGTGGTGACATTTGACCCTAGTGATACTCTTGAAAGGAATTAGGTGTTTGTTGCAAGCAAATTGTGGTTAAATTTCAATCAATTCATATGTCCAATACTTAGAAAAGTCGTCTAAGTCTTCTTAAGGTAAGGACAAAGCAATCAAACCAAAAAAATTGGAAAAACAAAAACAAAAGTAAGAACAATATCGTATAGTATTGTTGTGGGAATATTCGTTTCATCCACAAGTCACATAGGTCTAAGGACATCGAACCATGTTCTTCAACTAGGGGTTATGACTTGTGTGAGAGACTTTTTGGACAGCATCATATTTGAGGTTGTTATCGATTGAGATATTGAAAACATTTTTTTTCAATTTATTTTATTGATATTATGAGATAAGAACTATTGAAAAATTATTTAAACTCTATCTCTATGTAAGTACTTTTAAAAATGTTTGCCATACTTTCAAAATAAATACTAAAAATTTACTTATCAACATTCTGGAGCTTAATATTATAGCATTTAGTAATATTTTATAAACACTCAGGAGTTTAATATTATTATTTTTTATTAACAGTTTTAGGGTTAGATGACTAAAAATTTATTTTTTAAAATTAAGGGACCAAAATAAAATTTTATGTAAAGTTAAAGGAACAAAAATATACTTTAACCTAACATTTATTATGATATTAAAGAACTAAAATACATTGTTATAAAAAAAATTCTTTTAATTAAAAAAGTTATCTAAAACTAACTCAGGCTGCAAGGGTGGGATATTATAGAATGCGGGCAGATATATTAAATGTTTAAGGGTTGAAGTGCAATTTTGTCCTGAATGTTTTCACTCAGGAACCGTAGGTATTCGAAAGTTTTTTAGTAGTAATGTTGCCCTAGAAGTGTATAAATCAAAGCACTGTTGCCCCTACCATTTAAAGCATTAATTTTGAACGTTAGATTTGATTGATATCCCATGTGATAATGCCACCTCGGCACCGTGTTTCCTATCAGGCTTGGGTGTCATTTCTAGGGGTGTTCAATTTGTCCCGTTCCAGTCCTGGTGAGTTCGGGACGGGACGCGGGACGGGGTCGTCCCGTCCCGTCCCGGGATTTTTTTCTTTTAAAAATTATTTATTAATAATTATTATTAGATTATTCAATTTACTTATTAATAATAACTCTTATTTTTATGGTGATTTGTAGTTCTTAAGTTGTAATATTATCTCAACAAAATCTCCTTCCTCAATAAAATAATTCATAAAGTCATTATATAGTATTTTTTTTTACGATATTTTTTTTACAGTATTATTTTTACACCTTTTTTATGCTATATAATTAAGCTTTCTACATAATATTTTTTTTATAATGTTTTTATCTTTAAAAGCTCAATAAAAAATAAGTATTATAACATAAAAATTATATAAAAAGTTATGGTATCTTTTTTTTTTTTAAAAAAAGGGGGAAGCGGGACGTCCCGGTCCCGACGGGACCGGGACAGGACCGGGATGGGACGAGATACGGGACAAAATCCCTGTCCCGTCCCTGTTCACCGAGACGGGACTGGGACAGGCCTGTCCCGATCCCGTCCTGTCCCATGAACACCCCTAGTCATTTCCGGGTCTTTATAATTTTATTTGAGACTAAGTAATAGAGAATTTTAAATACACGCACATATATAAATCACACGCTTAATGAAGAATTTTCCTTCAGGCTTGGGTCTTATTTTCGAGTCTTTATAATTTTTTAAAAAAATTGTGCTTCAAAATTTTTGATGAAGCACTGATTATTTATATTATTTTAACGTTCATTAATATGAAAGAGATAGGTTATGCTATGTTTAATTATTTTTTCAATTTGTGCTAAAAGCTTCAAAGTGACAGTATTTATGTCCAAATGAATATGTATACACCAATAAACACCCTTGCATGTTTTGTCCCTGAAAGGAAAGAAATCAAATTGCATTTTTCCCGGCCAAAAAATTACATTTTTACTTCAAATTATAGAGATATATTTTTTCTCTCAAGTATAGATGGATATTTTCTGAAACAAAAACAAGGGATTTGTGCTGAATTTTGTTTTAATTTCAATTGAAATTTTTGTGAGTTTTGAAATAAAACACAGATCTTCATAATTCAGCAAAATTTTAAAAATATGTGACTTGAAAATTTAAAAAATTTGAAATAATCTGTATAGTCTTAATTTCTTGTCGAATATCCTTCTCCCCTTATATATAATTTTAATTTTAATTTCCTGGCCAAGT